GTGTCACAGAAGAGAGACCTCAGATACAGACAGGTCACCACACCAGTCAGCCACCAGGAACAAGCCATGTCTGCTAGCTGGGACCTGCTGGAGCCCTGCGGGAGCTTTAGGAAGGCAGCTGCTGACCTTCCAGCCAGCCCCAACTCCGGGCAGGTGGCTACACCACGCCTTGGGCTGGGCTCCTCATGTCCCACTGTGGCTCCAAGGCACAGCTCCTCCTCCCCAGAGCCCAGAGGTCAAGCAGGGCCTTCCTCCCGTACCCTTGCTCCTAACGTCTGCAGAGCTCCGGCAGGCTCCCCTGGCTACAGGCTGCAGGGCTGTGGGAAGGGCTGGGCTCCTCTCCCAGCCCCACCCTCTCCATGGAGGCTGACCTGCCCAGGCACTGCTGCTGGGAACAGTGGCCTGAAGCTCAGCCACAGGAGCAGACACAGCCCATGCTGTGGGTGACACCCAGGCATGGAATGGTCAAGGAGCATGACCGGGCAAGGCCTGCAGTGATCTGCAGGAGCTAGGGAGAGCAGAGGGCAGAGTAGGCATGATGTCTGGGCCCGAGGCTGGGGGCTGGATGCTGCCCCTAGACCCCAGGCTCTGAGCACACATTGCTATGGTCTGACTCATGTTTTTAAAGACCACCTTGACCTCTGCATAGAACTAACTATTAGCACAAGATGAGAGGTGGGAGGACAGGTGGGGGTGGGGAAGGGGTACAGTGCTTGGACCAGATGGTCACATGGTAGTGGGTGAGAAGTGGTCAGGCAGGATTTCTCAAGAGGAGAGTGGATGGACCAGTTGATGGCCTGTGAGAATGGAGGCCTCTGACTGAGAGGTCCCAGTGGACAGGCCAGCCAGGAGACAGGAGGGTCCCGTTGGAGGGCCACCAGTAGAATCTGAGTACCCAAGAGGGATTCCAAGCTGTGAGGCAGGCAAGACAAGGGGAAGGGAGCGGGGGAAGGGAGAGAGAAAAGGGGCCAGAGGAAGGCGAGCCGGCTGGGGCCCAGGGCAGAGCATCCACCAGCAAAGCAGCAGCTCAGGAGGGCAGGGCCGCCGGGCAGAGGAGACATCCAAGGGAGAAAGCGTGGGCCAGGAACCTGAGCAGACATTCCTCCAGAAAGACACATATGGCCAACAGCAAAAGAGGAGCTGGACATCGTGGGTCATCAGGAAAACACTAATCAGGGACAAGGACATGCCACCTCATTCCTACCAGGAGGACAAAATCTGGAGGGCAATGATAAGCGGGGTCAGGAGGTGGAGAGCCCGGAACCCTAGCCTGCCAGGGGCATGCGGACGGAAGCAGGGGGCAGCTCCCTCACCACCCTCCCCTGGCTGGCCGCCGCCCCTGCAGGCACTGCCTTGAGGCTCTTCACAGCTGCACCTCAGGCCACCTTCCTGGGGGGTGCCCAGAGGTGCCAGGTTCGGTCTCACCTGTGAAGTGAGGGAGCAGGGATGCTCCAGCCCCACCTTGGCCTCTGCCCACCCACAGCTCCCTCTACTCATAGGTGGTCCCTGTTCCTCAGCCACCTGAAATTCTCATCCCCAGCACCCAGGGAGAGGGTCCCTATCAGACAGGCCAGGCCATGAGGTCAGCTCCTCACACCCAGCTGGCCATCCACTCACCATAGAGACTTGGCAAAACCTGAGGTCACTCCCTCATCTAGGAATTTTTATGGGGGCTGTGAGCCTGATACGAAGCAAGAGAAGCCCAGACCCCCTCCAGCCAGCTCTGCTGCATGTTCTGGGCCATTTCCCAGATCTGGGGACCAGGCAAACAAGAGGGCCGTTTCTCCAAAAGACCTGCACAGCTCTGACTTGGTCTTCCATGCCATCAGTCGTGTGCCTCCCTTCTAGAACCTTCCACTGGCTTGAAGGGCTGTGGAATTAAAGTCAACAATCTATCCCAGATTCTGGGGTCCTATGTGGTCTGGCCCAAGCCTAACGCCTTCTCCCTGCCAGTCTCCCAGCAGGGCCACCACAGAGTGGCAGTAGCCTCCTCTGGCTCCTCAAACTCACCCTGATTGACGCTGCTTCAGGACCTGTGGTGGTGTGAGGAAATGGCTGCAAAATTCTTTGGCTTGCCTGTCCCCGAGAAGTAGAGTTCTCATCCTTCTCTTGGAACCCAGGCAGGCTTTGACCAACAAAGAACAGGACTGATCCCGGGCAACTTCTAAGAGGGACTATGAAGGACGAGACATCTGCCTTTTTTGCTGGAGTGTTGGCAGGAGGCCTGGGCTAGCAGGAGAGGAGGTGGCCATTAGGCCACCATGCCGGCAGGGAGCCCCACTGCCTAGGGAGACCAGGCAGCTGCTCCAGGGGACAGTCCCAGCAGAGCTCAGACCTGAGACATCCCAGGTGCCAGTCCTAGGCATAAAGGAACCTACAAATGATCTAACCACCCCTGCACACACCCCACCCACCCCAGGGCTATAAACAGTCCCAGTGTGGCCCAGTCAAAGGCCTCCCCACTGCTCATGCCAGACCCTGACCCACCAACTCGGAGGCCTTTCATCCCACTGTCATTGAGGTCCTGCGTGTGGTCCAGCCCCAGGGCTGCTCAACAGCTTCCCCACCCCCCAGCAGACTCCACATCCATGAACTCCCATCCCAGCCTCCATGGCAGCTAGCAAGCCCGAGGACAGCCAAACACAACCCTGCTCGCTCTGCTCCCAGGCAAGGCCCTCCCCTGCCTTCGTTTCCCCGTGAGCCATGAGGAGGCTTAGGTTTGGACAGCCAACCCTGTTCTGAGCGCGTCTCGGGCCCCAGGTCAGCTCTAGAGGGAAGGCCGACAGTTAGCCCAATTGCTCCTGTGCCCAAGACCACAGGGCACAGGAGCAATTGGACTAAATCCCATTACAGAAGCCTTCTAGGGGCACAGGGCAGCCTGAGCCGGAGTGTGCCTCCCCTCCTGGCCCTTGAGCAAGTCCTGAGTCCTGCAGGTGTGAGTGCAGGAGTGCTCAGTCACAGGGGGCCAGGGACAAGACACTCTCGCAGCTCTGTGTCCTGCCAATCGGAGCTTGGCTGCCATGTGTGGGGCTGTTAAGACTGAGCCCCTCCGAGAGTCGCCTGCACAGGCCCTGGCACTGGGGTATCTGGATCCCTTCTGGTGCCCATCGGACATGCAAACCCTGGTGGGAGAGTGCTGCTCACACAGAGCTGGGAGCCCTGCCTGCCAGGACCCTATCACTGCCCACTGAGCCACGGACTAGAGGCCCCTGGAGGTCACCACCACCTCGGCTACCCTGACTGCACACGACAGAACAGGGCTGAGTAGAAGACACCACTGTGAACTCGTGTGGAAATCGGGGAAGCTGGCCCACAGAAAGGAGCTGGAAAGCCTGGGAGCAGGACCCTCTGCCACACACCAGGAGGGTGCTGGCCCACAAGTCCCCTCCACCCTTCTGTGATCCAGGAAGCCCCCTGGTGGACTTTATGAGCAGAATCACCCAAGGTCCACCAACCAGGATGGGCAGGGGATCAGGGCAAGGTCAGCAGAGAGGGAGGAAGGCAGTCCACAGCCAGTGCTGTGCCCATGACAGGCACAGAGCGGTCAGGTCATGGGGGCTTTGGAAGGCAGGTGGACAGGTCTGTGGCAGAGGAGCAGAGACACCAAGGTACACTTCTGGCCCCAGAGCCAAGGTGGGTGCTGCTGCTGGGGCTGAGGTCACTGCGGGCCAGGCCCTGCGTCAGGCCACCTGCCCACTCTGCGGACAGCCCTCTCCTCTCCAAGGCCCACGTTTGGGGATAATCTCTTCACTAATCAGACAGGTAGCCCAAGTTACGTAAGTGAAGGCCACCTGGACACTCCCACCTTCTGGTCCCAGGGATACCCAGGAGACAGGCAGTGACACAGGGTTACACACAATGATGTCACTGGGAATTGTTCCTAGTAACCGGCCACATTACGAGTCACACGCATCCAACAGCATCCACAGCCCCCACTACGAGCACATCTTCAAAGTCCCTGATGAGGTGCAGGCACACCACTCACCCCAAGTGCAAAATGCTGCTTCCAGAACACTCGCTACTTAAACCCAACTCTGGTGTTGGCCTGAGGATATGAGGAAAGGCGCCAGAGGCACCACATGTCACAGTGGCTCCTCAGATACTCTGAAGGTCCACGCTTCCTGGAATGGGCATCCAAAGCCTCTCTCACAACCAGAAACAAGGACTTCATTTTTACAAAGAACAAAAATGGATAGCAGGCAATGTCTGCCAAGGTCCACTGGTGCCAGGAACACAGGGCACCTGCACGCACGGCCGCTCCCGCTGCTCCAGAGTGGAGCTGGAGTGAGGTCGGGGATGTCCCACACCCTCACCCACAGCTCTGTGCAGGAGACACAGCAGGCGAAGACGGACCAAGGACCAGGCCCTCAACGTGGCAGGTCCAGAGAGCAGCTCTGCTGACCGGGGATGAAACACTCGGCATCCCTGCAGGCCAGAACCAGGACAGGTCCAGGCTAGCTGGGGTGGCACTGCTCGTGCTACCTGGAGAGCAGGGCCCCAGCCTGCAGGTCCCCAGAGCCCTGCAGGCCCACAAACCTGCCCAGCGGCCCAGGTGGAAGGAGCCTGCCCTTCTCCTCCCAGCCCACCAGGTCCTGGCTTAGCAGACAGTACCACCTGTGCCTTCTGGGGCTCAGACCTCATCCCAGCCCAGTCCCGCCCAGGGGAGGCTGACAGCGACTCTCTATGAAAGCCCACAGGTGCAGAATCAAAACCAGGGGTCCCCACTCCAGCCCAGCCTGTGTGTCCACAGGTGTGCAAATATGTGCAGGCCTGTCAGTGAGCTTGGGGCACTGCAAAGACCCCCTGGAGCATGCTGGTGACGCGGAGCGTGTGCGAGCTGGCAGGCACACCACCTGAGCACAGGTGTGTGTCTCTGCAGCATCCACTCCATCTAGACGCCCACCAGGGGAGGGTGCTCACGTCTCAGGAGAGGCAGTTTAGGGTGAAGCTGCATGTGTGCGGCACCATGCACAGGCGCAGGGATGGCAGTTACCACTCACAGGCTATCCCGAAGCTCCTGTGTGTCACTCGGTGTCCCCAATGACCGGAGGCTCTTCTCCAAGGAGGTCACTGTCCAATAAAAGATGGGAAAGGCACAAGGATTAGAAGGACACTCCCCAACCCATTGCCCTCTGCGTGGCCATAGTGGAAACTGGGCCCTGCATCAGAGACAGCCAGACCCCTATGTGACCTGACACCAGGGCACAGCAGCCTCCTACAGGCTGGGTCCACCCCTCCTAGCAGAGGCCTACCCAACCCCCACAGGACCTTCTCCCCTATTGTGCCGAAGCAGGCCCAGGCCCATGTACAGTCCACCCAGAGCAAGCCCACCTGGGCCTGGGGAAGGCCTGTCCCTGTCCCAGGGATGTATGGGGTGTGGCTCTTGCTCCCCATCCTAGCCTCAGTGATCTCTGTTCCCCCAGCCCTGCCATCGGGGTTCACTCCTTCCTCCCAGGGACTCCTACAGCCACAGAGCCAGTGAGAAGAGCCAGGGTGGGACAGGATCGAGGAGGAGAAGAGCTGACTGGACATGCAAGCAGTCCCCAGCTGCCCCCAAGAACTGGGACTGTGGAAGGCAGGACATGGGGGCAGGGCAAGGTCAGGTACCAGCTAGCCTCCGATGTCACCTCAGTGACCCAGAGAGCCAGGAGAGAGGGGGCAGGCAGATGAACATACCATTGGAGTGGATTTGGAAGACACTGGCTGAGGTCTCCTGGCACAGCTCCCGGAGGTCACAAGGAACAACCTGTGTGGCTAGAGGAAGACAGGAGAAGAGGAGGCACAAGATGACCATGTATGACCGGCACCACCAGCTTCCCTGCACCCCACCCCTCCTGCCTTCCAGCTCTGCTTCCACAGGCAAAGGGTCAGGACAAACACCACCCCTGCCCTCCCAGTACCCAAGCTGGAGGGAGAGGCGGCTCCTCAAGGAGAGGGGACGTGGAGGCTCCGCACCCCAGCAGTAGCCTCCTGGGCACGCTCATAAGGACTCCCATCCACACAAGACTCGCACAAGAAGGTTCAAAGCAGCGCTGCTGGGTGGGAAGGAGGAGACTTCCCGCATGCTGTCAGGCCACCAGCAAGGACAAAGACGGGGCCCAGCTACACTGCAGAGTACTGCTCCACTGCTCAGCAGTAAGAGGAACGAGTCCCCCAAACACCAGGCTGGGGACAGATGCCACCAAGTGTATGATCCCATTCACACCGCACATGCAGAGGTGGCAGCCCACAGAGATGGAGACGGCAGCTGCCAGTAGTCTGGGAGGGGGCGATGATGCTAGCACAGGCCCATCTGCCCCGGTGGACGGACACGCTCTGCAGTGGGAAGGTGGAGATGGCCACACAACCCTGTGACCACACCAAGGGTCCGTGACTAGCACACTTTAAGAGTTCATCACAGGCTTTGTGCTAAGCACTTTTATCTCAAGTAGCAAAACCACAGAAATCGTCGTGGGGAAACTCCAAGTGCTAGGGAAGACAGTGTCCAGATGCGCACTGCTGGGTGACTGTGCAATGTGCAGCCACGCAACGAAGGTCTCGGCCACAGACACGGGGACACCTGCTGCCCTGTGGCCAGCCATCACACTCTGGACACCTACACAGAGAAACAAAGCCGAGGCCGCAGGAACCCTGGGTAAGAGAGTCCGTGGCAGCTATTCCTAAGAGCCCACCTTGGAAGGTGCAAGTGCAGGGGACGCAGGAAGCAGGATAGGCATATGTGCCCTGCCTGCGGGGCACCCTGGGCGTGACACTGTGCCAGGCATCAGAGTAACGGTCAGATCTCCAACAGAGGAAAGCAGTCTATGGTGGCTGGGGCTACGCTGGGCTGGGCTGGGGCAGGGCAGCAAGGACTTGCTGAATAGGGGAGGCCCCGTGCCTGGACAGGGCTGTGGGCAACACAATGCAGGCATCTGCCAAAAGGCCCAGAATAGTACCATTTGGTCCCCTGCAGTTCACGCACTTAAAGTTCACCTCAAAAGGAAAGGAGAGGCAGTAACAAGGAAGTGAGAGGAGACTCGAGGGCTTCGGCTGCTCCAAAGGGCTCAGAGGCACCAGGAGGGCCAGCTGGGATGGCAGCAGGTGGGATCTAGGCAGTGGTGCACCCGTGGTCACACTGCCACCCTTTCCACCTTCTCTGCGCTCACAAGTCTCCAAGATAAAACACTTAAGACTGAAGGACACGGAGCGAGGTCTGCCAGGGCATGTGGGGCAGGAGACACCAGGATGCCGGTGGGTTGCTGTGGTTCAATGATGAGGTATCCACTCAAGCTCCTGTGTTGATACAGCAGGGGAAATAATGAATCACAAGAGCGATAACCTCATCAGCGGATTAATTCACTTGATGGATTAATAATGGGGCATGGCTGGGAAAAGTAGGCCACCAGGGGGTGTATCCTTGGGGATCATATCTTGTCCTCTGACTACTCCTTCCTTCAGCGACCATGATGTGAGCAATTTTCTTCCACAGTGCACCTTCACATGATGTTCCCCACCTCACCTCGGGATCCGTGCGATGGACTTGGCTAGCCATGGGAACCTCTGAAACTGTAAGCCAAATAAACTTCTCCTCCTCTAAACTGTCCCTGTATTCTGTTCACAGCAATGGAAAGCTGACTAACCCAGAAACTGGTACCAGGAGTAGGGTCACTGCAGTGATTAACATGACCATATGGTTCAGAAGCCTTTGGAACTTGTTCATAGGAGGAGTTTGGAAAAGATTAGAGATGCAGGCTGGAGAAAGATCTGAATGTTGTGAGCAGAGCTTCGAGTGCTTCTGGTGAGAGCCCAGAGGACCAGAACCCTAATAGGAACGCAGACAGAACTACGCTCATGGAGTTTCAGAGGAGAATGAGGATTCCATTGGGAACTGGACTAGAGATGTTCATGTTACATTCTGGCAACAAAGGTTGTCTACGTTTTGTCCTGAGAGTTTGTGTAAGGCTGAACTTAAAGTTGGTGGACTCGCTAATCTGGTGGAAGGAAACTTAAAGGCAACATTAAAATTAAAACCACAGCTTTGAGGCAGTGGCTCGGATGTTGCCAGCAGCTTTTAGCCAGGTTTACTGTAAGAATCAAGAGCACAAGGCAGAAAGAAAAGATGTGAAAAACTTGCAGTTTGGCCAAAGGAACACGTAATATTAGGGCTCAGGAAGATGTGGGTGTTGAAGAGATGACTGCCACTAAAGAGAAACTAAGTACTTTGCCTAGAGACAATAGGACAATGCTGTGAGGCCATCTTGGGAACTAGAACACCACGCCCATGGCAGGTTCAAGGGTGTAGAAGTGAAAGAGATCACAAAGGCACCCTGCTTTCACAGGGGACCTAGAACGTTGTTTCCCCAGGATTCATTTCACTGGGCTTAGCTGCCCAGGCACTCCCAGGACACTGTAGCCATGGTCCAAGGGAACCCAGCTACTGCTTAACCTGGCAGCAGACTTTGGCATCACCCATGTGGAGCTGGTTCTGCAGCAATGCACGATGCTGGAGGTAGGGCCCAGAGGCTTCCCCTGGACTTCAAAGGAAAGCCTGAGGACAAGGGCAGCAGGGTCAGAATCCCTGCCACTGGCCCTGAGAGGACCATGTGCAAAGCCAGAACAATGAAGCACAAACTGTGGTGGAGACCCCCAGGAGATGCCCCAGGAGACCCCCCAGGAGACCCCCAGGAGATGACCCAGGAGACGCCCTAGGAGACGCCCCAGGAGACGCCCCAGGAGATGCCCCAGGAGATGCCCCAGGAGATGACCCAGGAGATGCCCCAGGAGATG